AGGTGCGTCCGCCCTCCCTGCACGACACCGCAGACCACGCCCACCACAAACGGTGATAAAGATGACAGAGGAACATTGTACAGTTCCCTGAAGGAGGGACCAACAATCAATTTTGAGCCAGCGGGGGAAGAATATGTTGTCAGTATTGCTAATGCTCACTAGAGTTATTCGTTGTGTATATTTGTTAAACAGTCATCTTCACTGAAGAATCTCGTGTATGTGTGCTCACAACATTCAGTAGTGTTACAAACGTTACTTCCACTAAACTCATCATGTTCTGAGTCCACAGTATACTACATAAAGTTTACCAGCGTGAAAATGCTGGTGTGCTATGCTACAATCACGCTGGGGACCACAGCCCACAAATTACTAAATTACTCCAAACTTGTTGCCTTTGAAATGGTTGTTTTAAGCCTGTGAGCACTCAGTCAGCTGCCATCCTTAAAACAACTTTGCTGTGTCAAGATGGCAGAATAACAGCAATAAGACAGAATCACTCTACAACTGATTGGCGTCAAGTCAGCAATTATATGCAATGTTTTTATGCTAAAACGAATAACTATGATAAATGTACTACCTGCAGTCAATTACTGATTTTTCCTAGTTGCAAGGAAGCTGCTGTCCTGTGTTTACTGCGACTGAGCCTTTACCTGCTGGTCAGTCAGCGGGTGCAGCGACGCCACAGTAACGTTGAGTAAAGGTAGAACTCTCTGGAAGGACGACTGGGTGGGAAAGCGCATGTTGAGCTGCAGCAGGTAAACCTCTGCTAGACTCACAGGAACCACCTGCATACACACACACACACACACACACACACACACACACACATTAAAAGACTTTTCGGTATATCAGATGAGCTACAAAGAGTGCACACATTTGTGCTTCATGGTTACACATCAGTATCTCTTTGTTTACATTTAAAATGCCACGCCCACTTCCCTCCGCAGTGTCTAATTATTTAAACTAACATGCTCTCGCTCTTGTACGCTTCAGTTATTTCAGCTGACATTTATATTATGTTTACACTGAAATGTAAACAAGTCACAGAATCACTGCTAGTAAACTTTTTGGCAAGTTCAGGGTCGACTGAAACTGATGTTGGTGATGTTGTGTCTCACACGCTGAGTTTCAGAGACTGTCCCTTTCACAAAGTTGTTGGACATAAAATTCAATGACTGAAACTAATTTTAAAATAAAATGTAGACAGAACAGTCAGTCCCTTTAAATACATTTACTCAAATGCTGATATAATCTCCAAGAGCCAACTGTGACGGACATTTTTCCAGCGGTATGGCACAGTAACTGACTGAATGTGTCTATAGCTTTTTAAACAGTAGCACACACTAAATATTTCCAGTATGGGGAAGATTAGTAACTGTCCTGTATTTTGGCTAAACAAATCTGGTAAAAATGAGAAGCAGACAGTAGAGAAAATCATTTTTGCCCTCCATGTGGAGTTCCTGTGACAACACTTGATTTATTTCATCCGTGTTTAAATGAAAGTGCTTTAATCTGTGTCGATTATACTTCAACTGTCAGTTACTTCTTTAGTCTAGTTTGTAGCAGTCTCGACTTTCTTCAGGACTTTATTTGACCTTCTTTCCCCATCTCACCTTGAAGCTGGAGCTCTTCAGAACGAGGTATCCGCCCTCTATCAGGTCCAGGATCAGTTTTAAATAGAGATATGAGCCTCTGCTCAGGCTCTTCAGGTGGCTGATCAGTTTGGACAGCGCAGTGTTATCGAGGCGGCCATTGCTCAGTGACACATTGCTTTGGATCTCAGTGCTGCTGTGGATACGCTGCATCAGGTAACCCTGAGAAAAGACAGACCGATGCAGTACAGATGTGCAGACAGACAGAGAAACTCACAGAAAGGTGTAACTTACCTGCAGGTCCTGGTCTATGGCGCTATTCTCATCCATTCGGTCTAAAGAGATGCGGTGAAAGGGCAGAGAATGAGTGATGTCCTGATTGAATAAAAACACAAAGAAACAGATTTTGTTAGTTCAGAAAAAGTTTTGTTTATTACCTGTGTGTGCTGCTCACAGTAATTTGGCAGCACAGATAGTATTTGCTTCAGAATAATATGATTTTAATCATATTCAGAAGGTTCCAAACTGATAAGAGATATTCAGTTAACACTGGTAACAATGACAGAAACCAACACAACTCAAAATAGTCCCCCTTGTTTGTATGTTTATGCTCTCTTCACAATGCCGGGAACCAAGGACCCACTGCACTGGCATAGAGTCTTTCTCCTTTAAAGCCTTTCACATGTGTTCAGGCTGAACCTGCTCTTATCTATGGAGCTGCCAGTTCTGGATTTGTATGGCAGATGTGTATCAGGCTCCACAGTGCTGTGACCAAAAGGCCCACTAGAGGACATCGGGCCCTGAGACAGCCCTCATGAAGTCTGTTTCTGATTGTTTGGTCATTCACACATGTTCTCATCCTCTTCAACCCTGTGCAGGTCTCCTACAGTCTCCTGGAATCTCTTCGATGTTCTTGAGACTGTGCTGAAAGACACAGCAAACCTTGCAGGAATGGCACGCATTGGCAGGAGCCGGACTACCTGTGTGACCTCTGTAGGGTCCAGGTATCACCTCATGCTACCAGGTGACCCCAGTCAAATGCAAAAGTAGTGAAAAACAGTCGGAAAAGATGAGGAGGGAAAAATGTCTGTGTCCTCCAGTTGTAAAACCATTCCTGTTTTGGGGGTTGCCTCATTGTTGCCCCTCTAACGCACCTGTGTGCTCTTTTGTTCCCATTTCACGGCCACCTTTGTGATTTTACACTTCTGTGTGTTTGTGACTTGTGTTTACCTGCTGACTGGTCCTGACAGTGGTAATGACCTTCAGCCAGGAAGGAAATTTCTGGATGGTTCGGGATAGAAAGGAGGTCAGCGTGTCTCCGTAGTCCGGCCGGTGGAACTCTGCCTCGTTTAGCCCATCAATCAGTACAATAAGGCCCGCCCCTTCTACATGCAGTTTATTTTCTGGAAAGCAAACAAAACAAACTCACATTGCATCACTGCACATCAGTTAATGTGCCACAGTTTACCGAACACAAGCTAGCAGAATGTAGTAGAAGCTGTACCTCTGTAGAGAGCGTCGAGCGGTTCTAGTATTCCTTTCTGAAGGGCAGAGATCGGATCTTGGATACAGGAGCGCAGACTGAGCATGCTCTGGAGCTGTGGCGCCCGGTGCAGTAGTTCACGATAGGCGGCCAGCTGAGGTGCGCTACTTAATGTAGCCGCCATGTTGTGGACAAACTCCGGAACGAGACAGGTGTGGCAGTTATCGGCCTGACAGAAGTGATATGAGACGACCTACAAAACAGAGGCAGAAGAAAGTCGGTGAATCATCTGTATCATCAGTAAAACTTCGCTGAGGTGGATTCACACGCTGGCCTTTTAGCTTGAGAGACTAAGTGATCATTCATTATACTGGTTGGTGTTACAGCAGCCTAATTCATGTGGGTCTTATATGGTCATTTCCACTGCTGCACGCAAGCAGCCTACAGAAAATTATGAAAGGCACAATGGGTCATCTTTGATTAAAAAGTAGAAAGAGATTGTTATGTTGGAAGTCCCCTTCTCCCCCATCCTGGGAAATCTGAGAGATGCTTTGCATTTTAGCAAACTCGAAAAGATTACATTCACCCTGCGTGGGTCTATGGCCAAATTTTTTAAGATCTGGCAACTCTTTT